CTGGTAAGTACACACTACTGAGAAGCTCATTAAACTATAAATAGATAAATATCTAGGGATCATAGATAAATACATTAATAAATAAATAAAAATTCGAAGAATTCTTTCAAAATTGTTTGTTTGACAGATTAAAGTTTGTTGTTATATAAAAACAATTAATTCCGGTGTCCGATGACAAAGAGGATAACAATAATACGCATAAACAAGCAACCATATAATTTACATTTGAACTTTTTTAGTTAGACATTATATTAAATATATGCAGAAATATGTAATTTTTATAAATTATATAATGGTCAACCATATAGACATGTCGACAAAAATTGAGTACAAAAAGACAATTATACTTAGAGATGTATGGAATTTTTATATATTTTTAATTTCAAAGCAAAGTTTGAAAATCATTACAGTTAAAAAATGAAATTTCTATTGTATCAATTTGAATTTGCAAACATTCCAGTATAATAACTTTTGGTTTTCACAACAGAGTAGTTAAGAATGAACGATTTTTGTACAGCAAGATAAACGTAAGACACACACTTATACAGTATGATAATACATACAGTATGATAATACATATAGTATGATAATACATACAGAATGACAATACATACAGTATGATAATACATACAATATGATAATACATACAGTGTGATAATACATACAGTATGACAATACATACAGTATGACAATACATACAGTATGATAATACATCCAGTGTGATAATACATACAGTATGATACTAACATAGAGTATGATACTACATACAGTATGATACTACATAAAGTATGATAATACATACAGTGTGATAATACATACAGAATGACAATACATACAGTATGATAATACATACAGTATGATAATACATACAGTGTGATAATACATACAGTATGATAATACATACAGTATGACAATACATACAGTATGACAATACATACAGTATGATAATACATACAGTATGATAATACATCCAGTGTGATAATACATACAGTATGATACTACATAGAGTATGATACTACATACAGTATGATACTACATAAAGTATGATAATACATACAGTATGATAATACATACAGAATGACAATACATACAGTATGATAATACATACAGTATGATAATACATACAGTGTGATAATACATACAGTATGATAATACATACAGTATGATACTACATACAGTATGATACTACATACAGTATGATAATACATACAGTATGATAATACATACAGTATGTAAAGGATGACTAACACTGAACCATACAGCTGTTTTGTCTTCCTATAGCTCATCTGTAATACCTTCAACCAAGAATTGGAAATCCAAATCAGTTCTTTTGAAACAGGAGAAGAGGTGCGAAAAACCGCTAAATTTTAATCCATTTTGCAATTTACATAATACTGGTTTAATTCAAATATTTAGTTAAAAAATGTGTGTTATGAACCGATTCACTACCAATTAAAGAAATGTGGCTATCAAGGTTACGGTAAACCTCGGGAACTAAGAAATCTACCAGCAGTGTCTACCACATCATCTGTGTGTGTTGTACGTCCAACTTATAAAGACGTCAATATTTATTATTTCCTATCCAGCACAACACTATTAAATAGCCACTAAAATGACAACAAAACTACGGTATATCTGTTCTATCACCAGCTTATATACCGTTTTAGAAGTATTTTGCAATGTATCCATTGATTTGAGTTAAAATATTTTCTATTATTTAAAGAAGCAGTGAGCGTAATTTCAAATGGTGTAATATTTGAAAATATGTACTGATAAACAATATAATAACAGTTATAAAGACATTATCATGTATTTAAAACTATTTCGAGAATCGGCTATTCCCCTTGATGAATGACGTAGCTAGAGGATTTTGACTCGGTTTCATTTTTGAAGCACAGATGTGATGCATATTTGGAACTCTATTTATATTACTAATTATCTTGACTTTTGATTGTCAAATCAGATAAGCGGGCACGAACTGTCGAAAAGGCAATCGAGATGAAAACTAAAAGTAACAGGCCAACAGAATCCCGAGTAATTCTATAGAAACCAATCTTCTATCAACATTAACTGTGATCGGACTTGACCTTTGACTTTCGGATCTTATATGCAAACTTAATATCTGTATTATTTAATTTCTTGTAAAAAAATCCGTGATTGGAACATAAAATAATTGGAAAAAAAGAATAAAATACTTACTCTCAGTGATGATAACCAGATCGAAATTCTCCTAATTTGATAAAGCAGGATTTAATCCAGATAAATATTGTAAAAGTGTATACTTGAGTTGTATAGTAGAATTCTGTGGTATATTTATCACTGTCAGAGAACAGCAAGTGTTAACGATTTACATTGTAACTGCACAAAGTTCGGCGGTGGTTTGATGGGACAAAAAGGATCATTGTTTGTATCGATGGCCGTGATTGGCTAAGAGGAGTGAGTCATTATAAGTATACGCTGATTCAGCAGAAACAAGTTTGGTAGGTATACGATTCTTTGAAATGGGCAAGTATAATCATGTCTATCATTACTGTTGTATAAACAAATGGCATCCAAAAATGCCTAAGGGCAGGGCCAAATAGTGTCCGCAAACTGTCTCGGGGCAGGGCCAACTAGTGTCTCCAAAATGTCCAGGGGCAGGGCCAGATAGTGTCTCAAAACTGTCTAGGGGCAGGATCAAATAGTGTAAACAAACTCACTAGGGGTAGAGCCGAAAAGTATTCAGAAATTTCCTAGGGGTTGGACCAAATAGTGTCCCAAACTCCTTACGGTCAGGGATAGCTTTACCTTTTTTGAAATAATTTAATTTAACAATTAATACAGTGATCAGACCTATAGCCAGGGTCAATGCTTGTATAGATTAGATAAAAAGACTTTCTGACACAAAGACCAAGTCTAGGCGGGCCTTTTTAACTAGGTTCTTTATTCTCCATGTATATCTCCTAACACGTCGATGTTGATCTCTTAAAATGTTATCAACAGGAATCGTTCAAGTTATGTGGTACAGGTGATACAGGACAGATCGCGTGACATGAAGAACAGGTATGGTAACATAGCGCTGATTGTCCAACATGAAGTGAATAGCTGGAGGTATAGTATTTAAAGGTAACTTATACAATATTTAGAATCGAACAACACCACTCAGGTTAAAAAAATACAAACGTATTAACTGCAAACAAAAATAATGTGTTAAATATATTTTATATATATAGTACACATAGGGAGTCAGAAGTCTGCTCAGAATTCTATGTTACTGGATTACCGACTATTTAAGATAATAGATAAAGCTTTATTGACACATAGTTATCAGAAATTAATATGTTTGAAATAATATAATAGCATGTTACCCAATCTTTCCTTGCAATTATATTAATTTATATAAAGATGTGTAATTATGGCACATATGACCTTCGGCAGAACACAATATATGGACAAGATGTAAGTCTGTCAACCCAAGCTCTACATGTAATAACTTGGTGGTGTTGCACAAACCGCTTGGACAAAATATTAAACCTTTAACAAGGACAGCCATATTTACCCACTAGGATACGGAAATGACCATATCTGTGCCGTTAGTCTTCGAGTAGGCGAGCAACACAAATTATAAACACACATGTACATGTAGCAATGTATATATCGGGAATAACACATATAACACAAACACACATGTATAAAGCTAACTGGAAAATTCTGAGTAATAGAAAAAGATAGGGCCGATATATAAGGAGATGTGTAAGGATGGATCTTGATTTAACTCAATGGCCGGTTGATCTATAAATCATTGTGTACGAGTGGGTCATAACGAAACTCAACTTCAAAAGAGGCTGTATGAGAATGGGTAGTATTTTTACTCTGGGGGATACATTATTAAGTATGTGGGCATAATTCAAACTCAATGGGCGGATACGTGCGTTTCTGTGGGAGAGTGTGTCATAGTTAGACGAAAGTGTCGAGAGGGGGGTCATACTACACATGAATACGACTGGGTGGATTTGGAACTTGTAGAAATCTCGAAACCCTCCCAGTCAAAACCCATAAAAAATGTCTTTGCCAACCACAGCATATATATGGATCTTGTCATTTGATATGAATATAAAATATGTTTTTAGATACATACACATGATTTCAATTACTGTTATATATACCAATGCATGCTTACACTATCAATACACGTATACCGATTATGACCGACGACTGTATAGCTGCAGGAATATAAAACCATAATTTACTTATATTGATAGACTTTTGATTCTGTATTAACTGTACTCCGTGTAAATATCAAGACAAAATTATATGACTGATTCACCTTCCTCTACCCAGTTGTACTGCATATCAGTAAAAATTGTTATGAAAACATATTGGGTTTTTTGTATTTTTGTATTTAAGGTTCAAATTGAATTTTATCCTCCCGTCATCTTTTGGGAGGGATGCCAGGGTTGGGATGCCCAGGGTTCATCCCTCTTACATAATGTAACCTAACGCAGGAGGCCTCTTTCCCTTCATTCTTTCATTCTCATTCATTACAATAATAATATTTACTTTGATCAAATGATATATTAAATTACATAAACCATTCCTTCCGTTCATATTCAAATATTGACAGTGCATTCATAAACACATTTATATGCCAAAAATTCTGCTTTATTGATTTGGGATTGCTATTATTTTCCTCAAATTTAGACACGATACACCGAATTCAAATTACTGAAAATGATGTTGTTTTTCATGTGTAATTTCGAATAACTCAAAAAGAATGTCTGGAGGAATAGAAAATATACAAATATGAATGTACCTTACTGCCTACCAATTTAAACATATATACAAGGAAACATATATACATATGTTGTAAAAAGTTGTAAAAAATTGTTGTCCATTCCTTTTTAATCATTTGATGAATAAGATATGTTTTAAGTAGATAAGTAACTTCACTTATAAAACTTAATTCTTTTACAAAAAAACAAATCCAATAATAATAATAAGTCGAGGTTCTTATATACCACTTTATCGCAACCTTGTTCGTAGGTCGTCTCAAAGCGGTTCACAATTTATTATCCGTGGTTATAGGGTCTTTGCAACCAGCCAATAACTTTCTCAACTCCCTGGGGAACATACAGCCAGTGCTGCCATTTCGGCGCTCACAGCTAGTACTCTACATTCTAGCACTGCCCAAACACGTACTCAATTACAGCTGATTAGACTGGAACAAGCGGAGTAAAGTATCTTGCTCGAAGATACAACACAACGCAATGATTTTGTAGGATATTGTATATATATACACACACACACACACACACATACAAACAAACAAATAACAAACTAATACCCATAAACAAGATACTACAAAATTTACATATACACTTTTTCCAATTAGTCAATATATAGAAAATATATGAAGAAATATGTTATTTCATAAACAAGTGTAATGGTCAACTTTAGACATGTCAGCTAAAATTGAGTACAAAAAGATAAGTTAAAAAATGAATATTCTATTGTATCAATTTCGTTTAGCAAACGTACCTCTTTGGTAACACGACATAGATCAATAAGAATGCGCTTATAAATATGATGAGAACAATATTTTCGTAACGAAATTTACCGTCGATGCATTTTTTGTATCATACATTCCCATCGTTTGTTAAACAGGATGATAGGGAAAAATATGTAATTTTGTTTAAGATATTAAGGTATGAAAATAATGTTTTTATATTATTTTCAATTATATTTATATTTTTTTGAGACGGACTCTCGGCATATAAATACACAATGATTAGGCTGCGATGTTAGTGTAAATAAATAAGTTCCTGTATAATTCTCTCCGGAAGTGTATGGAGGAGTGTTATTTTACACAAAATGTCTAATTAGTGAAAAACAATAAAGCAATGTCCTTAGGCTAATAACATCAGTTTGAGAAGCTCCAAATGTTGAACAAGAGAAACGGAAAAACATGAAAGCGTAATTAAGAAATTCACTCTTTGAAGGCGATTGATTTATTATATAGCAAAATGAACGTAGGACACACACGTAATACATACAATTTGGTAGTACATACAGCATGTCAAGAATGAATTACACTACACAATAAAGTTGTTTGTCCATCTAGAAATCATCGGTAATACTAGCAATCAAACAGGTGGAAATCCAAATAGGGCTTAACAACTTTTGAAACAGTGGGGGAGTTGTGTAAAACCACTCAACTCTATAACTATTTCGAGATCTGGGTTTTTCATGAAGTTTGAACTCTATGTTTTTACGAAGTACATGTTAGGTATAACATTTTAAAGTCCATGAGAATTGAAGTGGGAATATATTATTTATGTGGTAAGTAAAGTAAATCTGAACATTGTGGAACAATGCTATTGCCCTTGATGAATGACGAAGTCGGAGCATGATAACTCGATTTTATTTTTGAGGCACAGGTTTGATGCAGATTGTAAAACTCTATTTATATTAATAATTACCTTGACCTTTGATCGTCAAATCATAAAAGTGCGCACAAAGTTTTGAAATTACATCAGGAATGAAAAATAAATGTTACAGGCCTACAGGATCCCGAGTAATTGTATGGAAACCAATATTCTATTAATTATAACTGTGACTGACTTTGACTATCGTACCTAGTATGCAAACACAATTTGTTTTAATTCTTTGTATATTAACTTTTGATAGATATTCAATAACTGAAGGAAGAATAAAATACTTACTCTCAGTGATGAAGACATAATGCTTATCAGATCGAAATGAGTTAAGACAGGAAATAATCCAAATAAATCTTTGAGAAGTGAATGCTTAAGTTGTATTATCACTTTAAGAGAGCAGTAAATGTAGCTACACGGAATTCGGCGGTGGTAAACTGGGGCAAAAACGATCAATAATTGTATAGAGGGGGGTGTCATTATATATATACAGCTATAACACGGCTGGCAGAGTTACGATACCTTGAAATGAGCAAGAGTAATCATGTCTGTAATTGCTATAAAAAACCCACATAAAGTGGGCTAAAAAGGACAGGGCAAAATAGTGTCCCCAAACTGTCAAGGGGCAGGGCCAAAAAGTGTCCCTAAACTCCCTAGGGGCAGGGCAAAAGAGTGTTCCCAAAATATCTAGGGGCAGGGCCAAATAGTATTCTTAAACTCCCTAGGGGCAGGGTCACAGAGTGTATCCAAACCCCATAGGGGCAGGGGCAAATAGTGTGGCCAAACACTCTAGGGTCAGGCCCAAATAGTGTCCCAAACTCTCTAGGGGTATGGCCAAATAGTGTCCCCAAACTTCCAAGGGGCATGGCCACATAGTGTCCCCAAACTCATTAATGGCAGGGCCAAAATATAAAACTTTTCCTTAAGGAGCGACTTTTTAAATATAGACCAAAATATATGCTTATGTCTTTTACATTTATAACAACTCAATCTTCGAAGAACCAGGATGTGAAGTCCAAAGATTATTTAATGAGATAGTAATAGTGAATCTGTTTCATTTCGAATTATTTTTATTTGCCAAATAAACATTCCCCTTTAAGGTTCTAAGTTGGTGACAAAATTCTTAGGTATTTGTTTAAAATTAATCATACGGTAAGTTATTTCAAACGTGTATCAATCTAGGGGAAAATCTCATAATGTTACCACTTCGAAAACCTCTTCGTTAAAAAAGAATATTAAATCGGTAAAGCACTTTTTAAAAATATCGACTGCACAAAACATCTCTTTAACATTGTGGTATGGTTTGTTTTGTATTCATGAGATTAAAAAAATCTAATTATGTTTTTCGTAGTACTTTTTTATTACACCAGATATTCATCCCAAAAATAACCCGGTGATTTTGTTCAAATTGTTTCAAAGTACACGTCTCAGCATAGCCAAGATGAGTTTATGGTTATATCAAAAATCAGGAGTCCCCATATTTGCTTTTTACAGACTAAACTAACACCCAGGGGTCACTTGAAATATTTGTAGAACTATCTTATATCACCCATAAGTTTTTTCTGGTTTTCGAATACATGTGTCCAAGATGGACCAAAGCTTGAATTTTTGCAATCTCATAATCTTCAAAAAAAAATTAACAAACAAATATATTAATGCATACATGCTTGCATGTTACCATTTTGTTACGATCTTTGGCATAAAATAAATAAATAAATGCTGGCATCTTAACATTTTATTATGATCTTCTGCACACATAAAATTAAATTGATTAATGCTAGCATCTTATCATTTCATTATAATATTAAGCATAAATAAATACATGCTGGCATCTCACCATTATGTTATGATTGTTGGCATTAGTATGAATGCAAGTATTTATATAGACTTGGTTTACCCCTGTCGTCCGAAAAAAGGCAAACCATCGCAATATCCATTTCTTAACATTGTTAACAAACAACTTATTTTTATATCATTTTACAGTATGTATTTAAAGTCATAATTAATTCACCATTGGACTGAAAATACTGCATTGGTATGCATTCAAAGGTTCACACATTTCTAAAATTTAACAGTTAGTTTGTGATCGCTTTTGGGTACTGATCAAATTTCAATCCTATCTCATTACCTGTGTCCAGAATAGGGAGAGAAGTAATTGAGAAAATGTCTATTTTGTTATCAAAGACACAGTATTCTGAAACTGCAGTCGTACGTAAGCATGAATTCTGTACTAAACCTAAATGTCAAGTGGAAGCATTGAAAACAGTGTAAGGTTTTATTGTTTTCCAAAATTCTTAGAAAATTGACAAAATGTGAAGTTTTATTAATTAATTACCGGAGCACGAAGACAATTTCATTAATAAATATACATACATGTAAATAGTCATAACATACATACAGGACATTTTAAGGTCCAATTATCTTCCATTAATTCGTCTCAGCAAACTCATGACTTATAGGGATATCAACAAAGAATATAGAACAAACACGCAAGCAATGACTGAATCTATGCGATCGCCTTTAGATGGATTAAATTGGTCATATTGAGAAAATCCGAGGAACATTTTCTTCCTTTATGCCAGCAAAAATTGCACCAATCCCCAATCGTTTATGTTATAAATGGATACAAGCTGAAGCGTATCAATAATTGCTTGTAGCTCCGCGTTTGTCTAGACAGGCAAACGCAGCCCATTTATTTGTTCAGACATTTATTTTTGAGATCAGCGCTTATTTATTAGACAAGTCTGGGCTTATCAATGCAATAAAACACGTTCCCACAATAAAGTAAGTTGATCAATTTAATGTCAATAAACGTTAACATGCATTCTATCACGCTAACATGCATTCTATCATGCTAACATGCATTCTATCATGTGTAATGTTGTTAGAGTGGGCACATCCTTACCACATGTACATAACCACTTAACATGAACAAAATTAACACAGCTTCAAATAGAAAATTTGATTTAAACATTTTTAGCTGCAAAGTCCATACCTTATACTGTCAGCAAGCCCACTCTCCTCAGTTCTAGAGACTGTTTAATGAGTATACCACTTAAATTCCAATACAGCTCAAGCATTATTGTGTGATTTTTATTCATAATACAAGAACTATGAAAAATGTTTTTCGTCTTAAACTGATCTTTTGTGGCCCAGATGGGAAAGCGTAGAGTGTCGTAATGTGGGAGGTTACCCGAAGAATACATGTACCGTCATGATCGGGCAGGTGACACGGTACTTATTCTTGTCCGATAATGGAATCGAACCTCCGTCGGCTTGGTGAAAGGTATATGTACCTACCACCAGCTTCACACGAACCTACCAAAGCACTGATGGATATTTATCTACAAAACTTATATATCTTCGGTGTTAATGTCCAACATGACATTTTATATGTTATCAAACAAGATTAGATATATACGGGTACCTTGATCAGGTATGATTTAGCGGTTTTTATTTAAATAACAGAGGTACCTTAATCATGTGTTAATAAGTGGTGTCTATTTTAATGACAGATGTACCTTAATCAGGTATTATTTAGTGGTTTCTATTTTAATGACAGATGTACCTTAATCAGGTATTATTTAGTGGTGTCTATTTCAATAACAGAGGTACCTTAATTAGCTATTATTTAGTGATGCCTATTTTGATCACAGAGGTACATTGATCCGGTATTATATAGTTGTCTATTTTGATCACAGAGGTACATTGTCCAGGTATTATATAGTTGTCTATTTTGATCACAGAGGTACATTGGTCAGGGCCCAGTTGTTCAAAAGGCGATTAGCTTGATCAGTGATTAGTGCAAATTTCAATGTATGTGTATCTTTGAAACACAAATATTGACCGAGTTAAAACTTTCCAGATATCAAGTGTTTAGTAGAGTTAGTTTACGTGTACAATTTCGAGGTTTTACCTTGTATATTGACGAAATTATTAAAGGTTGAAAAATGTCGTTTAACAGTGATTAAGCTAATCGTCTTTTGAACAACTGGGCCCAGGTATTATTTAGTGGTGTCTATTTTGATCACAGAGGTACATTGATCTGCTGGTGGATATTCTATTCCCGAAGATTTTGGTGTCAATCAGTCCTGTTGAAACTTGTTGGTGGCAGGCGAAGAGCTCTGGACAACCATGGGTAGATCGCCGCCATACTGATGGACCTGTCGAAGGTTTCTGCCTCGTAACTTTTTGGTTGGGAAGCTGAAGGCCTATTGCTCGAGCAGAGGCTCAGTCAACCGGGTACTAAGCTACATGAGCAGCAGGAAACAGGTAAAACTGGCTCGAGGTTACTGGCTGAAGTGCTAAAGGGGTACTCAAGGGGTCTATACATGTACTCCGCCCGCTGCTTTTTGATAGATTTATAAATAATTTGAATGAACAGTCGTCTAAACTGTATAACTATGTAGACGATGATACTGTTAGTGCTTCGATTAAGACCCTTATGTTTTACATATCAATATGGAAAATGACTATAGAAATTTCATGATAGTAGTTAAACTTTTAGGTGTTGATTTTTATTCTTCTAAAGCTGCGAAGTACACACATAAGATTTATGTAGGAAAACCTCGCAACAACTATCAATTTAGAAGCGAATTGGATATTTTATTTGACACAATTGTATTCTATATATACAAAAAATAACACATTCTCTCACACTCACATACGCACATTCAAAATAACAATTAGTCATCATCCCAATCCTTCACCTGATTTCATCATCATCATCATCATCATCATCATCATCATCATCATCATCATCATCATCATCATCATCACCATCATCAACAACAACAACAACAACAGCAACACCGTCATCTTACGCCATTGCCATTTTTATCGTAAATAACAAAATATTTCCACAAGGTAGTCTTTAGATTTATCTCTATTTTATTATTTCAAATTTTAATTACTGTCCCTTAGTGTAGCATTTCTGTTCTATGAGAAGTGGGAGAAAGATGAAAAAGTTTTAAGGTTTATACATAATATTTACCATCGTATGTCATTGCCACTACATAACCCTACCAAACTCAGTTGGCATTAATAGAGGCTACGTATGTGAATGCCATTGACCGATCGTTGACCTTATCATTATTATGACGTAATAACTGTTACGTTGGAAAACATTGACCCTTCCAGGGCGATGCCTGTTCCATTCATTGAGCAAGTATACAAGATACATACATAATTTGAACTAAATGCTAAATAATAAGTGTAGTGGGGGTTTTTATGAGATGAACTGATTCCAAAAATGGTAAATATAAGCATTGAACTGCTTTCAGTTGGAATTCATAGGCAATATGACTTCCAACTAGACGAAGCCGAATCCAAAATGAAGCGCTTTCGCGCGTCATTGAATTTGCCTTTGTCTGATTGGCATTCATATTGCCTATGAATGTCAAATGATCACAACTCATTCTTCAAGCACTTACTGAGTATTACCAATAGTGATGGGTTATATCTGAGTAGCCTGAAGAACCAGAGTTGTGACGTTTGTAACATTACAATCGAAGTTTCTTCTAAGTATATCCTTAACCTTGTAAATATAAAGATATCAAACTATTGAAAGAAAATACTGCAGAGGTATCCAGGGTTAACACTATGAAGTATGGACAGGGGCATGACAGAAGTCAAATTATGGAATGGTAACGCATCATTTCCACAGATATTTGAATTCTTCTTGAGTATATTATTCTTTATGCTTCTTTGTTTATTTGAAGTTGAATTTCATATCAACTCGGTTCCTTTGCTGATTTGTTTGTATCTGAAGTGTCTCGGGGGCCTCGGTAGGAAGGGGAATCCAAATCACTTAGGAAACATAGGATGTGACACTTTTTCCGTTCATTGTAATGGGATTTAAAGCCATCGCTGAATAAGCTATCTGTAATTACCCTGTATCATATGACATTATAATGTTTTATACATTTATATACATATGCTTGTCGCAATAATAGTTCACAAGAGCTTAAGTTTATATGTATGCGACTCTAAATAAAGTTTCTTGTATCTTGTTTTTCCTTATTCGTTATTTCTGGCCTCTGACAATGATCTATTATATATTCAAATGATTTTTCTAGCAAGGATTATGGTAATATTTTTCAGGACTTCAGGACATTGCATTAACTCTTTACACAAAGATCTTAGCACCACGCCATACTGTGATTCCCCTGACAAAGGAAGATAACTTTGAACCAAAAGTTATCCTTGTTCACAATTTGGAAATGTTTACCATGACGTCACCACGGTATCCTCGATCTGTAATGGTAAGTTTTGACCAAAGTTGATGCAGCTTCTATATAATAACATATTATAACTACATATATTTTCCTACTGAATTCCTATGATATGTTGATATGTACAAATTCTATCTGTTTTTCTCATATCAAAAAGAGTTGGTTTATAAGGTAAGAAGCATTCATATTTATTTTACTGAACCAAATTCAAATTAACAGTGCTGTTTTGTTTGAAAAAAAGGGTAAAAGTCCAGACATTTCTTGATATTGTCTTTAGCATCGAAATGTCTGTCTAAGACATAAAATGTATGAACTGTAAAACGTAATAGCAATTATAGATAATAATAGAATTTTATGATTAATTATGATTTATTTTCAACACATAAAAAAAAATGAAATTGAAAGTGATACAATAAAACGTAATGTAATGAATAGTTAGGGTCAAACAGGCTAACAGTAGAATTTCGAAAAGAGTTTTGGTGTATGAATATAATACCGAAACCCATGTATCACAACGTGCATGTTAAGTAAAGGCAACTTGACGAAGTCCCAGCGAAGATCTACACTGTCCTTATTATACAAAAAGGACCGCTCTTTTGAGGGCTATGTAAACCTGCCAGAAAACTATGAATAGGGGATTTTACTGCAAAAAAACAACGCCTTTAATACAACATTTCTAAAGGAAACCCTTGCTTTCCGGTACTTTTTTTTAAAATAATCAGGAATTTATCTTTTTATCAACACACAACTGTCACACCTAAATAGCAACAGCACTACATAATACTTACAAAACTAGAAGGAAGTAATGTTCAGTAAACAAGTCAGTTTTAAATGGAAATTTACTATAACATGATTATCGGTCGGGATTTTCACCGGCCTTGACTCAAGACCTTAACATCTTAAAAGATATCTCCCGACATGAGTGGTCTGGTGATCCTGGTTACATAATAAAAAAATATCTTTGATATGGAGGTCTACTTATGACGTTACATTCATATCATAATCAAATTATACAAATCACATCCGTTGAGTCATGTGTGACGAAATAAAAATATCTTAATGCATATATCAAATATTTACGGATTGTCAAAACCAAAAACGTACAACGTTAAACGAGCGATTACATTGCTGCATTAAATAGTATGGGCCAAGCGTGCCAGTGAAACGTAAAAATTACACTGTAATTATACAATTCTACATACACAATGTAATTATAAAATTCTACATACACAATGTAATTATACAACTCTACATAAACAATGTAATTATAAATTCTACATAAACAATGTAATTATAAATTCTACATAAACAATGTAATTATAAAATTTTACATACACAATGTAATTATAAATTCTACATAAACAATGTAATTATAAAAGTCTACATAAACAATGTAATTATAAATTCTACATAAACAATGTAATTATAAATTCTACATAAACAATGTAATTATAAAATTCTACATAAATATTATAACTATCTTATTGTGCGTATACGCTGTAAATATATATCAAATATTTACGGATTGTCAAAACCAAAAACGTACAACGTTAAACGAGCGATTACATTGCTGCATTAAATAGCATGGGCCAAGTGTGCCAGTGAAACGTAAAAATTACACTGTAATTATACAATTCTACATACACAATGTAATTATACAACTCTACATAAACAATGTAATTATAAAAGTCTACATAAACAATGTAATTATAAAAGTCTACATAAACAATGTAATTATAAAATTCTACATACACAATGTAATTATACAACTCTACATAAACAATGTAATTATAAATTCTACATAAACAATGTAATTATAAATTCTACATAAACAATGTAATTATAAATTCTACATAAACAATGTAATTATAAAATTTTACATACACAATGTAATTATAAATTCTACATAAACAATGTAATTATAAAAGTCTACATAAACAATGTAATTATAAAATTTTACATACACAATGTAATTATAAATTCTACATAAACAATGTAATTATAAAATTCTACATACACAATGTAATTATAAAATTCCACATAAACAATGTAATTATAAAATTTTACATAAACAATGTAATTATAAATTCTACATAAACAATGTAATTATAAATTCTACATAAACAATGTAATTATAAAAGTCTACATAAACAATGTAATTATAAAAGTCTACATAAACAATGTAATTATAAATTCTACATAAACAATGTAATTATAAAATTCTACATACGCAATGTAATTATAAAATTCTATATAAACAATGTAATTATAAAATTCTACATACACAGTGTAATTATAAAATTCTACATACACAATGTAATTATAAATTCTACATAAACAATGTAATTATAAAATTCTACATAAATATTATAACTATCTTATTGTGCGTATACGCTGTAAATACAAAATTTCTCATATTCACGGTAATGAAATCGAACATATACAATTTTTATACAATTGTACATAAATAACATATTAGAAATTGTACATGTAGACTTTCTTTATATACTTTTACATAAACAGGATAAGTATAAAGGTATTTATAAACATTTTATTCATGAAATTATGCACCGTTATCTTAAAAATGTTGATATACACTGGCATTATAAAAATATTCATATACACTGTAATAATTGTTTTTTACAAAATCAAAATTATGAAATTGTACATTGACGTTGTAATTATAAAATTCTTCATATAAATTGTAATAGAATTGAAGATATACAATATTAAATACAATAGTAAATATATAATATATTATTTAACTTGTACATGCATAAACTATAACTGTACTCATACACTGTAATTATAAAGATCTACACTTACACTCTAATTATGAAATTGTATATATACACTGTAATTATACAATTGTAATAAAAACATGTTCATAAACGATGTATTTATTAAATTGTAGCATACAATTGTACAAAACACTGTAATCATATAATTATACATAAACACTTTAATCGTAAAATTACACAAACACACTGTTATTATAATAGTGTACGCATACGATCTTATTATAAAATGAAAATATACATTGTTATACACAATTGAACATAAACACTGTAATATTTAATTGCTCCAGAGCTGCTTAGCTGGGACAGCACTATCTATACAAAACTATGTACTTATACGTGCAAACAAGTAAAGACCGTTATAATGCAGTTGGAATAAACCATTTGCACTATTGTTATTGAAGAAAGATATTTTTGATTTTATAAGAAAGTCCTCAACTTTCTTATAATAAAGAATAGTATCATTATTAATGAAATGATTATAAAATGAGATTTAATATTTTTAGTTAGACAGTATGATGTTACATATGACACATTATTATAAAGGAAATATATATACATATCATTATCAATACTACTGTATGCTATTTTTGGTCAGAATAAAAACAAATCGCTATTTGTGAAATAGGATATTTTCAGGAAGATGGTAATGCTAAATATATTAAACAGGATATTATAAGTAAAAGATAACAATTTTGTTTTGTTTTCTTGTAGATGTTTGTTAACAAAAAGAGAAGAAAAGTCATTCTAGGAGGAATTATAATAAGCGCTGTTCTGATGACCTTGCGAAGTGCTCCTTTAAAAGATCAAACAGCTGAAACGTTAACCCGTCCTGGTCTTCGATCGTTTATGCAACAAGGAGAAAGGATAGGTATACCATTTTTGATTCAACCGAAGCTAAAGTGTAATCAGGAATCTGAGAGAAGCACTGTTATCACAGTATTAAGTAAAACGTCAAATTTGCCACAACGCGAAGTCATACGACAAACATGGGGTTGTTCAAAGATGCAAATAAAATACAATTTTCGTCTGTTTTTTGTAATCGGAACAGTAACGGATGTGAGTAGTTTGAACAATGAAGTGTTTCTCTATGGAGATATAATACAGGTAGATATCCCGGAAAGTTATTATAACATAGTTGAGAAAACAATCGCAACTTTCCAATGGGTGACTGAGCTCTGTTTTGAACCACGATTCTTCTTCAAAATGGACGACGATGTCTATTTTGACCTTGAATTTCTCAAAATAATCCAAAACAATGACACATACTTGTCAGATGACGTAATTCATGGAACGTGTGTATATGGTGTGCCACCATACAGATACCTTGACGCAGAGGGGGACAAATTTAAAGTTTCTATTGGCGAGTATCCTTTTAATACTTATCCGCCATATTGCGGAGGCCCCGGATATTTTATGACGTCACACACTGCAAACAAAATGTACCTCATGATGAAAACAACCCGTAGCTTTAAATTCGAAGATGTCTATGTCGGAATGGTGGCATGTCTATTACAGATATCTGTAGAAACAATCGATAATTTTGTTTACGAAAAGAAAAATATTACCAGGCTTCTACAGAAAGTGAAAGTAAATGGTTTCCGGGTTGTTCACGGATTAACGCTAGATGATGTTCAATACCTTTGGGATAGCCGACACCTGGAATACAATGATAGACACGCTTAATCCTTCTCATCTTCAAAGAATGTTGTTTGTAGGATGAACGTAAGACACATTTGATTGTACCAATAAAATTTGATACAGATTAACATGATTTACACTGCGCCAAACAACTGTTTCATCCGTCTTGGACTCATTGGAGATGATAGGAGGCCAAAAAATGATGGAAATCTCAGTTGGTCTAAACTGATGTTTAAACAGAAGGAGATGTGTATAAAAACCTTGAGTTGTACGAATCTAAAAATTAAGAGGACTGCTGCTCAATTTCAAATAATAATAATTAGTGGTTCTTATATACCGCTAAATCATAACCTTGTTCCTAGTTTTACTAGGAAGTTTACTTCATGCATACACATGTGTACAGCTGTCTGTGTTATCTCAATCAATTTTTGATACATAATGAATGGATAACAATATGAATTAGCATAGTAACTCATTAATATAATGTGTTACTGGAATATAATAATGGAAGAGGGAATGTACCGAAATCAACTTACCATCATACCCACTTTCATTTTACAAGTTACTTTTATTGATATATGCAGTAGACTGTGTATTTAGTACCAAATTAATTGATAATATCAATTATGAATAAACTATTTATTAATACCATGTGTGTAAATATATGTACGTATATTAACATACAATGAAATATAGGGGAAAAAATTGTGTATCATATCAACACTGTTTACTTGAAAGGTTAATATTTACATACACATGTATACAGCTGTCTGTATTATCATATATAATAATGGAAGAGGGAGTGTCAACAGAGATACATATCTAAGAAATACATATCTAATATTCATGTGTGAAAGATATACTTATATTTATAAAATATTATAAATATGACATAATAAATAGTGTTACTTATCTACGCACATACACATGTTTATATACAACTGTCTATATTATTATTTATTTCACTTTTTTAATTCATAATGAATGAATTTGAATAATAACATGAACTAGCTTAGTATTGCACTACCAGATACATTTTAACGGCCCATATAGAGGGTTATAGCTAATCCTTCAAAAATGTATGACGCAAAATTATAAGATCTTGCATATCTTTATTTTTATTCCATCATGGATCCCATACCGTGAAATTTGTACATATATATGTCTATGTTAATTGAATGTTTTGTACATTTTTGTTTGTGTGTGTTGTCATATATATATATACATACATGTAACTCTTATGCATGTTTATGTACATTTGTCTTTGATACAAGAATAAAATGTTTAAATAGTAAAATGTTAGTTCCCTTTCCTCGATGCTGTATATATACATCGTTAGTATTAGTAGTTGTCATTATTTTATTATTTGTAGCATTGTATGCGCAATATTAGCTACTTGGTCACGTAATCACGTACGGGTTGTCTCCCATCAACCCCTGGGGGTCAGTCAGGGCTGATATGTGCATACCATCAAACTTCTATCCAATACTGATAATGCTAACTCAAACTGAACTACTTCCAATGGTAATTATACAAATGTTGGCCCAAAATATGATTTCCCTATATATACTATAGTAAAGTTTACCCCCTCCCCAGGGGGAAATGTGAGACCCCAGGGTCATGAAATTCACCAGTTAGGTAAAGCACATTACGACCCTTCCATCTATGAAGAGTATTTGATTCTACCATATCTTGGTATTGAGAAAAAGGTATTTGAAATTTCAGTCAATTCGACCCTTTTTGGCCCCACCCATCAGCCCCGGTGGGTCAGTCAGGGCTGATATGTGCATACAATCAAACTGCTATCCAATACTGATAATGCTAACCCAAATTGAACTACTTCCAATGGAAATTAAACAAATGTTGGTCCAAAATGTGATTTCCCTCCATAAACTATAGTAAAATTTACCCCCTCCTAAAAGTGAAACGTGAGACCCCAGAGTCATGAAATTCACAATTATAAGTATCATATAAATGTAATGAGATATGTGTGTTTACAGTTGGATTCGGATATAAAGAAACAGGTTTATATGCACGCAAGAGGTTATCGTAGGGCGAATTTCAAACCGCAGAAATACGATATCATTGGGTTTAAACGCAATATAGATTACTCATTTATAGTAATGATTAGAATGTTGTTGGAAAATGTTTTTGATTCAGAATATGTACCAGTACTTGTATTCCAAAGAAGCTTATTAAATAAAGCATGAATCTACCTTCTCTCCTCGGCTGGAAAGAGTTAGTTAGAAGTTTACGGACAGCTGCCGCTAACACGTATACAGTTACATATTTCTTCATTTCTTATTCAAAATGCACGAAAACACCGTCTTTTGTCAAATTCTCGATATAAAATGTCTTGATACAAAAGACTTTTGTGATAAGTTTATAAAAAAACATTTTCCCGCTAAATTGTCCCTTTAACAAGTGGATATTAATGAGATATTTATGTTGTAATTAGGCCGAGGAGATTTTCGTAACGTGTAGTAGTGTTTGTACAGAATGTGTTTGGTATTTAAAAACTGACAGGTAACATCAACTGAGAAAGTTAATATAAATGTAGACAGGGAAATATCAACTTTCGGGATCAAATGTTTTAGTACTTTGCAAAGCCTCGTGCATAACCTCATAAAATTTCCCTACGTTGGAAATTACTCTAATAATACAATAAAAAGGATTTGTTACAGATGAAGTCATTTCTTCCAGCAAAATAATTAATGTGACACTGTACGTTTCACAATGATGCTCTTTTATACAACACTGGTGTGAAGTTCTGTGTCCTTAAAAATATATCTTATAGGTCCATTTATTTACAATATCTAACGATTAAAAAAAATGCATGCCTTCGATATTAATTTTCTTTTGAATAATACAAGTTTACATTTGTATTTATTATTTTAAAAAATTATACCATATATATTATTAGACTTGTTTGTATCACGATTGTATTTGTTTGATTTAACAAACCAAAGTTGATTTTACATTAAGCAATATTTATACGGCTCCATTTGTCAATTTGATTTTTCATTTAACAATCCTACTATGTATATGCGGACAGTTAATTTGTTAACAAGACCTGTATGCCAAACCCTATCAAAGGCCTTGCTTATATCACAAAATATAAACCTAACTTCTTTACCTGTGTCTATTTTTTTATATTTCATGATAAATAGATAATAGTTGCTTTACAGTGGAGTCACCTGGTCTAAAGCCGGACTGATTGTTCGATAAAATGTTATTAGACATAGATAGTTGTATAGGTATTTAAATAAAATATTTTCAATAAGTTTACAAATACAAAAGGTAATAGAAATTGGTCTATAGTTAGCAGTATTACTCCTAGAGCCACTGCCTTTGAAAATAGCATTAACATTAGTCATTTTCCAGGAATTTGGCAGAAGACTAGAGTCTAGAGTTTTGTTAAATAATAGTTTAAGTGGCAGAATAAGATATGGTGCTAACTTTTTAATAACTTTAGGAACTAAGCCATCAGGTCCAGATGGGTTTTTCATTCATGTTTTCTAACTGATCTTTGACATCCTGACTAGTTATTTGAATATTTGATATGGAGGAAGTTCAAGGTTGTTAGATGAAGACGAGATAGAAGTGAAGTATTTATTTAGACAGGCAGCTTTTTCACTCTGGGAGGGGGGGGGGGATAGTGGATGACATATTGTTAAATTTTAAAACGGTTTTTGCTATTTTCCACCATTTATCAGGGGGTATATTTTTATCATCAAGAGAATTTTGAAGTTTAACAATGAAATTAGATTTTGCTTCTCGAATAAGGCTGATTACTTTATTCCTAATTATTCTAAAGCGCGTCCAGTGATCAGGGTTATTGGTTTCTTTTGCCTTTTTATGAATTCTATTTCTTTGCCTCATTTTAGTTCTGATGTTATGGTTCATCCAATATTTATCATTTGGTCTTACTGTAATAGTTTTACATGGTGTATATCTTTCCAACTGCTCGGTGATTGCATTATTTATGAGGATACTAAATTCATTCGAATTGGATTGGTTAGCTAGTTTCATTCATTTTATTAAAATCAGCAACGTCATATTGCCAGATTTTCTTTTTATAAGAGTTTTGCTTAAACACACAATATGATATACTAATATGTACTGGAGAATGATCACTACAAAATGGATCGCCTACTTGTTTGTAAATACAAAGTCGATGCAACTAGAGCTTTCTGGTGTAATACGTGTGGGTTCATTTATTAGATTGTATAAGTTAAATTTAGAAAGAAGTCTTGATAGGTGGGAAGTTGGTTGAAGAGAAAGAAGATTAACATTAATGTCCCCTACTAATAAAATATCTAGAGAAAGGTCTGATGCTTTTTCAAGTATGCTATCAAGTTTCGTCCAAAATTCAACATTTGAATCAGGAGGCCTGTATAGACAGCCTAATACAAATGTATGTTGTTGATAGTTACTTACAACCATATTAGTTCAATATCATCTATTTCAAGATCATGTCTCCTTTTGGTTAAAACAGAATCTTTATAATAAACCAGTACACCACCTCCCTGTCTATTTAGTCTGTCTTTTCTATGAAGATTTATCGCATGAGAATCAATAATAATATCACTGTTTGGGATTTCAGGTTTAAGATGCGATTCAGTGATACAGATAATGTCATTGTTATTTAGTTCAGCTTCAATAAAGTCAGTTTTAGTACGTATAGATCGAGAATTTAAATGGACAATATGGAGATTTCCTAAGGGACCAGGGTTTTCCTCTATATCAGACGATACTGTCAATAACATGAGCATTAGGCTGTTGTTTAGGTAAGGCTGTGTAGACTGGCCTACTGGATTCATTTGGGCATGGTGGCTCAGTGATCAAGGTAACCGTTGCTGGAAATTGAATTCTGCTTGTCTTGAGGATAACTTGAGAACGAATAATCATACAAAGTTCAAATTTGGTGTGTATGTAGCCCTAGATGCAATGATCAATAATCGTTTGGGCATGGCATATCAGAGGTCAAGGTCACTGTTGCTAAAATATAGTTTTGGTTCGTTGTGTCCCGATTAATACTTTAGAATGAATTAAGCATTCTAACTTCAAACTGACACATAAGCCTATTGATTGAAGGGGTAGGCAATCAAAGGTCAAGTTCACTATTGCTAAAAAGGAAATTGCATCTCTGAATGATAATTTTAAAAATGATTGCCATACAAAGTTCAAACTTGATGTATTGGTATCACTAGCAAAAATACCCCACCGGAATTAATTGTAACTTTTAAATGAACAATTGTACAAAGAGAATGGATAACAAGTCCACATAGAATTATTGTAAAACATATTTTACCGGATTGCGCACAAGGTTCTTGCCCTTCTCGATCACAAATCCATGATGGGTCGAATAGCAAACCCTGGACTTTCATACTAGATATCACTTTAACTTTCAACCAGTTCCTAAAAGTCTTTGGTTTGTCTAACTGGCAACTTTTGCAATTTTTCTTTCCAATTTAGGAGTATTATAACGAGAATTAACTGTTACCTACTACTAATCTTGAAATTTTACGATGAACTGTTTCTTTTTAAGGATACATTTTCGTTTTCTTCATTTTATTACGCCTTTGTTCTATTAGTATACAGACTTTTTTCCGAGAAAGAATCCAACATCAACATGATGTGGATTGTAATTGCAGTACTTGAAAATGACAAGAAGATCAAAATTTAATGAAGATGAAATCGTTAGTATGAGAATGTATAACATTTTGTATATACATATTTATATTAAAAATGACACAAGACTTAAACAGGAGGTATCAGGGAAAAGGAACATCCTGTTACGTAACAATCGGACACAAGCTAAGCAGGGTTAGTGGGAGGATTTGGCGGGTAATATGGCAATTATCACGCTATTTCTCTAGAGGTGGAGCTTGTTGACTATGTTTGGTACAAGTCCTGGCTTGCTTTATTTATATATCTAGAGGATTACGGTCATTTTCTTTTTTAAAAATATATGCGCGAGGCATGCTTATTTGTATATATGGCACATACAATATTCCATAATATTTTTATTTTTGATCTGTCTAAAAATTACAATTGAATAAACAAATAATAAACTAATTTAACAGTTCTCTATAACTGATTATTTACGCCAGTTTCATTTTGGCTGTTGACATTTAGAATTATTTACTAAAAGTCATTTGCACTTTCAGAAAACGAACAACCTCACATGTGTTTTCGAATTTATGTTGTAAGAAT